GTGTAGGTGCAGTGGTGGCCATCCTTTTTTTTAATGTTATTTATTTATTTTTATTTTTGGGAAAGCTTAACGTATGCATGCCTAGTTGATGAGTTAATATTGGAAAACCATATGAACTAAATCATGCACCATTGCACTCCCAAAAAAAAAAAAACTTGTACGATTATATTTACTTTCAGTTTCATATTTGGGTAATCTAGTAGCATTTTAGTTTAACAATGTGATTTTTCTTATAAATATACACCTTCACGTACGGAAGTGTAACGTACATATATAGGCGTACGTATACCAACATGTGCCGTGCTTAGTCTAGTGTTAATTAAAGGATGTTATCCAAAATAAGTGCTCCTTAAAAGTCTAGTGTTAAAGGATGTTATATATCCAAAATAAGTCCTAAAAGCTGGCACCCTAATTTTCCCTCAATAAAGAAAATGAATTCAGAAACATGAAATCTAGTAGGAGTGTACGTACCCTTGCAAGCTTTATATGATACACAAAAGGCTCGCATCTTTTAGTATTGATTCTAAATTGCAGCTCATTTTCTTGTAGTTGGAGTTGAAGAGAGTCCTATACCTCTCACATGACCCTCAGATTGGAAGGGTAAGCCATCATTGCAATGTAACACATTATTCCCTGCATATATATATATATATATATATATATATATATATATGTATATATAAATAAAAGAATATCCCACACCTAATCATCTCCTCACTTTTGTGAAATCAATCAAATTTATTTCCCCCTCAATTATTACCAATAACAATGATGAGCAATTCCCCTTTCCCATTCTCCAAAAATCCCTAGGCTAATCAATCCTCTCTCTCTTGCAAAATCATCCTCAAAAGGAGCAATGATCCCTTGAGCATATGGTATCACCTGAAAAATGTAACCTAGCCCTAAGTACTTGAGCATTCATGCAGTCTTGAGGGGATAAATACAAAACAATCTAGGGTTACTCACATGCATGCAAGGCCAATGACCATATACATATAGATATATAGTATAATGTGGAAAGGGTACTAGCTTATTGATCCTAATTATATAATATTTTACTTGGTGATAGGTGGAGTTGAAGATTTGGTTGTTGGTAGTGGTATTGTGTTCATCTGATTTTAATATTTCACACATAATTTTTAGAGTTGAGTGCATTCTTGGGAAGCTTCATGTGGAGCAGTTGGAATATGGAAGGCTCTTAATTAAAGGATAGATTTGAGATGAATCTAGCTATTTATTTCAATGCCTGTTCTTTGTTAATGGTTTTAGTATTAAGATAATATTAGAAAAAAACATGGGTTGATGCTCATGTGTTATTCAAAAATTGGTGACATTAGGGCGGCTAAGGATTCCTCAAATCTCGCCACCAATCACTCCAACCTCATGAACAAGATTAACTAGGAGAACAAGTAACATACGTGCAAAGAAAATAAATAAATAGATAATATATACACAAATACGATAGAAACACAAAACGCATAACTTAACCTTTGCACTTTCTCGCCGTTGTATTATCTCGGTCGTTTCATTAGTGGGCAGTCGACTGCAAATTAATTTTACGCTGATATTCTTTTCACCGCCAAAAAATGCAGGAAAAATTACGAGGCAAATATCACATGAAAATAGCGCGGAAAATAAATCTAATTAAAGATCAAGGATTACCCCCATGTTGATTACAGCTTCATATGTAGAATAAAATCACTGATTCTCATGAATCTTCTCTCCTTCCACGTGAAGAGCAATGCGACTCAATACAGACAAATTAATGCATAATGCACACAAATATATACACGAAAAATGCCAAACTAATTAACACCAAGCGCGAAAGTTAGCATCCAACAACATTCCCTAATTTCTACACTTAATAGTCAACTATATAAAATCATCAAGGAAGTACAATATCCAAAGGAAACATATAGTTGCCTCTACATTAATTTACATACGCTACCATCAATATCACAGGAGATCGAGAAGAGAGGGAGATCATCAACTAAGTATATAAATATATACTCAAAGATAATACTAACAAAGTTTTTAATCAATTAATTAATTAACAACTAATTAAAGCTAAAACCTCTCTCTTCATCTCATTTCTCTCTCTCTCTCTCTCTCTCTCTCTCTCTCTGTATATCACTTAATCCGAGGAACAAATCCAAGACTCAAGCATACCTTCCGATCCCCTCGCTTCCCCTCCCTTGTCCGCCCCAAACTCCGGCGCCAACGGCATCGATCCGGGCGCCGAGTAATTCAGCTTGCAGCTGCTGTTGCCTACGCTCCCCTGCTGCCTCAACTGGGTAGTAGGGTTTAGGGCTTGATCCTGTCCCCAACCCGACCCGATGACACCCGGCAGGCCGATGTCAGCGGCCCCATATTGGTCAGCTGATGATGTCGTCTTCGGAGGGGCAGTGAGCTGAGAGTGCAGCAGCGACTGGAAGTTGAGGAGGTTAGAGTTGGAGGAGGAGGGAAGTTGGTAGTTGAAGTTAGTTGGAGGGGGGTGAGGCTGGAATTTTTGAGGGTAGGGTTTTAGGAGGAAGGGGGCGGGGTTGAAGAGGGAGCGGGGGTA